GACTTTATAAATAAAAGTAATTTCAAAGTACACAATTTTTATCGTTTAAAACTTAGGTTATGAAGAAGTTGATTTTGAAAATTTATTAATTATGCTTATATGTATTTGTAATTTGAATAAAAAGAAACTGCAAATAACAAACAGATACGTTTGAGCAGAAGCTATAGTTTTATGGNATTTTATAAATAAAAGTAATTTCAAAGTACACAATTTTTATCGTTTAAAACTTAGGTTATGAAGAAGTTGATTTTGAAAATTTATTAATTATGCTTATATGTATTTGTAATTTGAATAAAAAGAAACTGCAAATAACAAACAGATACGTTTGAGCAGAAGCTATAGTTTTATGGTATACGATGGTGGTTATATGATAGACGTTCATTAAAAAAAAGAGAATTTAACGGAAAAATTTGTGGTGCATTTCTTTTTTATTTCTTTACGACCAACCATCTGTTTCCCATGTATGTATGTACATATTCCATTATTTTTGCAGCACCCAATACATCTACAAGTACCTATTGAGGTTAGATAGATCGTAATACTGATGTACTTTCATGTAATTCATGATTTATTTATTTTTATGACTACATGCTCTCGCATGTCACATCTATACTGAGCAATTTTCTCCCTTCGTATCATTTTATGAGTGATAGGTCAGTTGAATAGTATGGTGAAATTATATACAAGTTCTTTTTATTGTTCACACTCCCTTATCAAGTAGACACAACATAGATTGCATCATTTCAGTATGTATGTTATATACATATAGCAGTTTCTGAATTAATGTAAAAAAAGAGGAAACTACTTATATATGTACATAAATATGTACAGATTAGGTGTGTTCAAATATGACAAGCAAGAGTAGACATAAATATTATGTTTTAGGTAAACTACATAAATAAATGTATCATATATAAATTTTCTGTAAAATTTTTCAGAAAAAATTAATTTCTGTATTAAAATGGTCAATCTTAGAGCTACACTGTATGCAAATTTTAATCTACATTAATCTTGATTTACTTCGTAAGTAAATGCGATGCTAGAAATGTCGCAA